AAACTTAAATGGCACAACAGGAGAATGAATTCCCAGTTATATGTTAAAACTGGCTCTACATAACATGCAATGATTCTTTTATAGTAGAAGTATAGTACAAAGTATAATGTTCGCAGTTATGATCTAAATATTTGTATCTTTTTCATGTTGCTGTTGATTCTTAAAACACTCGCAAGGGGCTGCGTTAGCGCAGTCGATAGGAGACTCGCTTTCAAACCCCCAAGGACTCGCGCGGCCCACGGGGGTTTTCAAACCCGGGGCGTTTGGGGGTTACCAGCCTCTGGAAAGGGTACCAGATTTAGCATCGGGGCAAAAGGAGGAAAAGTCGCAAGTAGGGAGTTACGTGCGAATGGCGACACGGGCGGCAATTTAATAGTTTCCCGTACTGGGGAGAGCATTTTGGTTTATAACCGGGTGCAGTGACGCAAATTTAAATCTCCGATTTACTTTGTTTACTCAAAAGCGATATAATTTGGCCGATTTTTGCTTTCTGCCACGGATCCCAGAAATTTTAATTTTTCCCTTTCCCTTTTCTTTTGCTTTTTCCCACTTTTTCTTAGGTCGCCAAACTCTCCTTTTCCTACCCAAACCACGGAGGGCCATCCCTGCCAAAGTTCATGAGGTTTTTGCGAATTGTCTAAGTTTCACTTTCCCCCTTTTTGGAACGTTACCCGTGATGAAAATGTTTTTCCCTTCTCTTTCCCATTTACGACGTTGTTTGACTAAAATATTTGCGGGTTCTTTGGGCATTTTTTTACATCTGCGTTCGTAGTTCTCTCTGCATTCTTAAAAAATGAACAAACCATGTAATCTTCTGTTTTTCGATGAATTCGCTGCAAGGTGTTGTTCATACAGTCTGTCTGATATAAATTAATATCAATGCTAACTTTGTTAGCGGCTTTTATTTTCAGGCATCTCATTTCACAAGTGTTAATTTTACGGAGGTTAACCGTGTGAAGTAGTATTTCTAAAAAAATAAGTATGGTACAAATCATAAATTAACTAGTTATTCCCTTGTGGGATGCAATTTTTCGTTATTTTGAAAGCCCACCCTGGCTCTTGTCAGGGGTCGCAGTATAGCCCGGCCATAAATATGGCCTAATGGCTGAACGCGGTTTCCGGGACCTCTCCGCATGTTGGCACTTTGTGTCATCGAGTGTTTATCGCTTGTGTGATGTCCTAGTGGGGTAAAATGTACTACTACTACTAATTAGATCAGCATTACAGTACAAGCTTTGGTTAATATTTGACGCATAGTAGTTTTTATAGATTATACTAGTAATCTGGTACAAGGTATAGATTATATTAGACGAAATGTGGTGTCAAGCATCAATAGTATCATAAGTATCATAAAAGTTATAACACGATACCAGAAGTAGAATATAATGTATAAAAGATAACATCACAAGATGAGAAAAAGACATGAAACTAACAAAAGAAGTAGTTTACAAAGTAGAGATATTAAACGAAATAATGTATAAAGACACGGCTCGGCTACGAAAGTGAGCAGAGGCCCCATCTACCTCACCCCTAAGAAGACAAGCTGTTAACAGCAACCATTCATGAACAAGGCAGGGCCTGGTGTTAACTGATGACATTATATTCAACTGAAATATAAGAAAGAGAGGAGAGAAGAAAAAGAATCGAAGGGTAAGGAAAAAAAGGAGAATACAAAATGCGAGAAATATAATAGAGGACAGGAAATAGAAATATATTGAAAAAAAATAAAAAAAATAAAATAGGAGAAGAGGGGAAGAATTAGAGGAAGAGAGAAGTAGAAGGAAAAGGAACATAAAATGAGAATAAAGAATCTAGATAGCAGATAACTCGACTATCTCTCAGAGAATTTGTAAACACGTTTACTATGATAAATAAGTCTCAGTAATGTGCAGAGACAAGCGTCATTTAATAATCACACTGTATCACATGACTGATAATTGGCCGTCTGATCAACTTTTATATTAGGCTTCAACGATAATGCAAAGTCATACACAGCCGTGTATCTCGCACAGGACAGTCAACTTCCTTGGTAGCGTGGATCTAACAGTTAACGGCCATGTCAAAAAATGGTACCCACAAGGATTGGACATATCCATCTATGGTCGTTTGCCCAGTCTGTGCAGCCAGGTAAAATGTTTTTAGCTATGCTACTCAAAGAAAGAAATGCAAAGCTTCTGAAAGGAATATAATTTTATCGTAATTTTGACATTCAAAATCTGTGTAATTTAATGAGTGAAATAGTTCAAATTGCACATAAGAATACCTTGAGTTCACTCAATCAATTAGCAGTTATTTTTGCATTTGGGTCATCTACTAAAGTTTTTTAGATGTACGGGCTTTGCCGTTAACTAATAACAATGCACCATCTGTGCGTATATTTTAAACATGAGAGCGCATTTTGGCAAATTTGCGTTTTTTTTAAACAGTATATAATCATGCCAGGATTACCAGTTAAAAATGCAGAAGACCTAGTACAATTATTAGACATTGTGGTACTAGAAAGTGCAAACAAGAGACTTTCCTTGAATATCAAGAAAAAAAAAAGAAACAATGTTTATGTCAATGAAGAAGATAACTCCAAAATGTGACCTAGTAACAGAAGGAGAAGTGCTTATCCAAGTCAATAAATTCCTGCATTTAGGGACATTCATAACATCAGATGCACGACGTGTGAGAGAAATTAAGAGCGAAACTGACCAGGCAAAGGCAGCAGTTAAGAAAATGAACAGTATCTTATGTCATAAATCACTCTCATTAAAAACATCAGAAAACGAGTACTGAAATGTTATATTGAGCATTCTTGTTGTATGACAGTGAGTCTTAGAATGTGAACAAACAAATCAAGAAGAGTTTGGAGGCAACTGGGATGTGGTTTTTGGGAAGAATATTACGAGTACTTTGGACTGCCAGAATAACTAACATTGATTGCCTGGAAATGGTTTATGAAAGTAGAACATTATATTGTGGCGCGGTGATTTCGGTCACAGGCATGAGGCAAAGTTAAGTCTGATGTGAGGTGTATAAGGAGATACTCCGTACCCCACTCGGGCGCCAGTCCTTCACTGTTCTGGTTTTACGGAACCTCATGCAAAACTCCTGCTGCACGTCCCCGTCGTGCGCCACGGATAATGTCTCAAATGAGCATAAACAGAGTTGGCAGGGGATCTCGGAGCTGGCGGCCCCTAGAGATGTAGTGTCCTTTCTGGCTCTCACCAGCCCGCCCCCAAAACGCATGGATGAAAAGTCTAACAAAACTCACGAATTGCTTGCTAAATGTACCATCAAATAACAACTCTTGGTTAAAATTCGGGAGGGAATTTAAAACTGTGCTGCTGAGACTCAACCCTGACCGAGAGATTTACCCGCAGCCAAGACGAGTAACATCTCTTGTGGGCGACTTCTCGCAGCAAGATCCTACCTACGTACATCCTCAATCCTCAGTGTCGTCGTCACCGCCCTGAGGTACACCACGGCAGCAACTTTTCATATGCTGGCTTGGAAATAAGGTCCGACAAAGTTATACCCCACGGCACACATGCAAGCTCAGAGTCCGACGATCATAATTCGTACCGATTAGGAAAAAGTCCGAATGTCCGTATCCACTGGTCCAACTCGCCCGAGTGTTGGGACCAAACAGGTGAAGCCACGCCTGACGCATTTTGCTTCCCCATTCTGTCGTGCTAAGGGCACAGCTGAAACAACGTTAAAGGTGTCTAACGTAAGATGAAAAAGAATGTACCTATTTGTGTGGCCACAAACGTCCTAGACCTGCGGGCTGCTCCCCGCTGTTCTCCGGAGAGCGCAGCCTTGTAGCGCGGGAAGCTCAATACACGGTTGTGAGGTTAAGCAGTCATGGGCAGGACGTGACGATTCCTTGGGTGAGCCCAGAACCAGAGCATCATGTGTCGGCTCTGCATTTATGGAAGCCTCCTTGGATGGCGGGAAATGCCCATGATCTGCCCCTGCCTTCCCTTGAGGGCTGAAAACTCTACATAGAGCTGCCTTAAGGACGACATTCCGGGGGCCACACCTGTTAAAAGTCAAAGAGGACACCACACAAATGAGGCAACATCTCGACCCACACAAAACAATGGCCACAGTCAACCTAGAAATAGGCTTGACGTCTTCCTCCGAAGTCGGAGTACATCTGCCGGAGAGGCGGGGAACGAGAACTGCAAACAAATAAGCCAGTAAAACGGATGTACACGCAAAACTCAGGTCAAGGTAAAAGCCAAAAGTCCATTTTGGACGAACAACCGCGACTTACCGCCGGAATTCACAGCCGGTGAACAAGAAGAAGAAGAAGAAGAAGATTATATTCAACGATGAGAAGGAGACAAACACAGTTCTTCGGTCATGTGATGAGAAAAGGAGTAATGGTACATTTCGTGAGGAATGGAAAGATCACTGGTAGAAGAGGCAGAGGCAGACCAAGAGAAATGACGGTGGCCTGATTAATAACAAATATAATTAATTATGTACGATAATGCATCAGCATGGGGTGTATGTTGCCAGACTCATATTTTCTAAGACCCCCCCCCCCCCCAAAAAAAAGGGGCGGGGGGTGGGGGGACTTCATTCGCGCTGATGACATAAAGGGCTGAATAACATAACATTGGACTAGATGTTGACCTTGGCCAGAAGCTCTGCTGTCTTGTGCGTTGAGTTTTCCAGTCAAAGAGTGTGCTGATTTAGTACTCCGTTGAAAAAGGTTTCGGTTGTGTTTGTGCGCCTCTTTTTCTACCCTCCTTTAAGCTTTCAGTGCCCATTTTATGTAATTTAGCACTAACTGTATACACTTTTTGTGTGAGATATGTTTGACATCGTGTTGACTGCCTTTATTTCCAAACCAGCCACGCAAGTTTCGCAAATAAACCATACCACAAATATAACCGGAGACTGTTGGCGGCTCGCTGCTAACAGCAGGTTGATATTGGTGAAGTTTTTTTAAAAGAATGGAATTAGAATTTAATTTCAGAGACACGCGCCCTTTCATTGCCTTTTCATTAAGGTTATAAATGGTAATATTAAATATTGAATGTTGAATTAAGAATCGACATCACGGCACGCGGGACACTCGCACAAGTGCTCTGTCCCCATCTTCAGCAGCAAGCGAGGAGCTCTAATTCCGATGGTACCAGCAACCGTCTGATGGTATATTCATCTCATCCCTTCCCTGAGTGTTGAGCGTCGGCCAGATCCCCTGGTAACTCCTCAATATTTCCCAACATACTGACATGACTTGGGAAAATATCCAAAGGATTCTTACTATCTTTCTATCTTTCTACTTCTTTCTATGAGTGCCGTTCACAATACTTTCTGTTACCCGGGACATCCGAAGTGATGCTTGCCACTCTGCACGAAGCATGCCCGTTTACAACTTTTTCGACATGCGCTGTGAGTCAGTTACAAATACACATACAGCCGTGATTATCCAATCATTTATTTCTAGCTTGTTCATATTCTCAGCAGTGTTCTAAAAATTGAGCCTTGTTTCTGGACAACGTGATTAATCGTTTTACAAAAAAAAAAAAAAAAGACGAATAGGCCACACACAAGTTTTTTTTTTTTTTTTAAGTATCTTTGAACAAAGAAGACACAAACAATAGACTGCAAAAATTGATTGCCTAGCATATTTCACTGTTTCTCGTCAGATGTATACTACAGTAACAATTAAATGTTTCACCTGACCAAATACCGTGAAATATAGTTAAAAAATATGTAAAGATCCCTTTTTACGACTTATGCGCATTGGGCATGTAAGAAGAGCACCCATATTTTTACAGACCATCGGCACTAGGTGGGTAATGTGGTCTACCCCATGCATTTAGTTTCAACAATTCCCTTCTCGCTATTTCAAAACTTGAACTTCTCTTCTTATCTTCTACCTTGTAACTCAATGAAATGTCGGGAGAAGATGTAATGTTCGTTGATGAGCTCTGTCAAGTGCACTAATAAATGATTGATGTTCATTTCTGTTAGGCTGTTGTTCTTATTGCCATTTCTCCATTTTTCCGAGGTCTTCCGCTCGCTCTATACCTGTTGTAACATTCCAGTGTGGCTCGCTGTGAAAGACAGTACCAGGGCATTCTTGTTAGGTGTCCTAACCACTTTATTCGTCTGATCAAAGGCTGTAATTACTGGACTACCTATAAAGACAATATTTTAAAATTAACAATCACGACAAAGCGAAACAAAGCAGTTGATAAGTGTTCAAGAATCACTCAAGAACAGTCATCTTTTCAAGAATGACTGAGATTGAAGCTGTCTTCTTCAAATAGCGTTCTTGAATTGTAAGGATTAAGCATGTTTTCTTTTATATTGATATATTTCATTACTTTAAATCATCTTCTAAAATGTAGTACTAACAGTAATTTCGTATGGTATTAAATGGGTAAGTTTTTCTGTAGAAATGACTGAATATGTTTTACTTTCCAATGGGCTGCCTTGTTGACTGATATGATCTTGTTTATAATTATTATTTCAAGTTGATATCGCAAGTCATTATTATTATTATCACTGTTTTCAACACTACACAAACACACATATGTTTTTTTTTAACCTGCAAACAATGTAACTACTAGTTAATTCTGTATTTTTTCAATTCTTTGAAGTCAAGTATATTGATATTTGCTATTTCATGGTCATTATAAGATTTCGGCTCTACTTTCAAATTTGGCCGGTAAGCTGGACTGCTTCGGCCGGCTTAGCGGGGCTTAGTGGGAGTTATGTCCCGTGGCCGCACTCAAAACAACTCAAAACAAGTCGTGGAAAAAGTCACGAATCAAATGGCATACTTACCTATCATCATCCGGTTGCGTGTAGGGTTGCGAAGGGTGTCTATCATCGTCCTACGGTTGCGTGTAGGGCTGCTTATTGCTTGTATGTTGGTTGTTTGTGTAAGATGAGGGGTAGGGTTAGGGTTTAAGGTTTAGGGTTAGGGTTTAGGGTTAGGGTTTAGGGTATAGGTTTAGGGTTAGGGGTTAGGGTTTATTGTTTAGGGTTTAGGGGTATGGTTTGATTTGAAAATTTTCACGTAGGAGGTCGAAATAGTGGCCGACAATCTGACGTTTGTGGGAGTGGCGCCACTGAAACTCTGCCAAATATGACGCCGTAGTTACCTATAATCGCGCACAGTCGCATGCACGCGCAAACAGTCGACGGACGGTGGATGCTACTGACACGGACAATTCGCAAGCGACTGGGCACCATCCGCCCGCTATTGGCATCATATGTGGCAGAGTTTCAGTGGCGCCACTCCCACAAGCATCAGATTGTCAGCCACTATTTCGACCTCCTACGTGAAAATCTTCACATCTAACCATACCCCTAAACCCTAATCCTAACCCCTAACCCTAAACCCTAAACCCTAAACCCTAACCCCTAACCCTAAACCCTAACCCTAAACCCTAACCCTAAACCCTAACCCTAACCCCTAAACCTTAACCCCTAACCCTAAACCCTAACCCTAACCCTACCCCTCATCTTACGCAAACAACCAACCTACACGCAATAAGCAGCCCTACACGCAACCGTAGGACGATGATAGACACCCTACGCAGCCCTACACGCAACCGTAGGATGATAGGTAACCCTAGACGCAACAGTATGCAACCCTACACGCACCCGGATGATGATAGGTACGTATGTCATTTGATTCGTGACTTTTTCCGCTCGTTGTTGTGAGTGCGGCCAAGGGACATAACTCCCACTAAGCCGGTCGAAGCAGTCCAGCTTACCGGCCAAATTTGAAAGTAGAGCCAAGATTTCTAAGATTTTTCAGAAATTATGGTAATAAGAATCTTTAGGATCGAGGCTACCAGTAATGGCCATAGCTAAAGTCCTGAGTAGCTGTTGTGATTGCTTCAGTACCAATCCAGGAGCCACCACTAGAGGTGACAATATGAACTTCTTGGGTACCTTGTTTGCAGGTATCACTCACATTTATGATTGTTCTTTGTTTCATACAGCCACCTACCTAGGAAGGACAACTTGGCAAATGGTGTGTATGCGTGCACATGTGTGAACTGTGGCCATTTTTTCAAATTCCGCACAGTCCAGAATTTCAAAAGCAGTGTATCCTTCACCATCAATGGAACTCAGTACACAGGTTAGTATTTAACTCTTTCACTGCCAGACAGCGAGAATTGGAAAGCAAAAGTAGCTCTAGATTTAAAAAAAAGAAAAAAAACAGTTTTGAGAACAAGTTTCTAAGAAGAATACAAAATCTCCACTGGACAGATTTCAGATCCAATACGCAAATAAGACAAGAGACCAAGCAAGATAATGTATCCCAAGAAGGCACCACTGGAACTAAATCAGCTATGGACTAAGAATGGATAAGACAAGACTCCCCCATCAAGAGCTCATATGGACACTGGAAGGGAACAGAAAACGGAGAAGACCAAGAGAGACCCTGTCTAGAACCATCATCAGCAAAGACTCAACCATGGGCCTCATTGACAGCCAAGACCTTAAAACAGGTGGCAACGAACTGCGAGACATAGAGAGCTATCACCTCTGTCCTATGCCCCGCCCTAGGCTCAAGAGGAAAGACTGACTAACTAACTAACTGCCAGACAGTTGTTACTTTGACTCTTTCTATATGGTGCAAATATTTTGCATACCCCACCCCAATAATAAACTAAATCACACTTAAAGAACTGAGGAAGAAGAGAAAATGTCCATCCCTGGCAAACTTTATCAAAGGAAGAAAATGGAGATGGCTTAGAAATGTTTGGCCAGATCCCACATTGTCAGATGTATTTGTCTATAAGGTGGTGTTCTGGCTTGCTGCCTGAAGTGTTTAAATTTAATCCTTCTTGTCCCTGTGTGGGTTTCAGGGCCATATTTTAATAGGAAAAAATATGAGAAGAGAACCTCTGTCTCTTAATAAACATTTTGTAAATAGTTACTGAATAGAGGTTTGCTACAATGGGATGTGTTGGCCTAAAGGTTGCAGATATTGTATCCCTGTTGTAATTCACAACACAACATGCTAACTGCTCTTTCAAGGTAGAATACAGAAGAAGAAGAACATAAAGAAGAAGAAGAAGATGTTGCTGAACATACAATTTTATTTCTGATCACATACAACTGAGACAAAATGGTGATCAGAGAAGTTATCACTTTATCTCAAACTGCTTTGATCAAGTATAATTCTTATCACTTCCAGCCAAGACATTCTTTGTGGTTCTTTTACAGGGATTAAATGACCTCCAAAGGTAATTTGATTTTTAACATATCAGGGTAGGGATTACATTACCTTCAAAGGTAATGTGATTTTTAACATGTTGGGGCTGGGTCCTCCTGTTCCTGAATTTTCATGCAAACACCCCCCCCCCCCCCAACCCCCTTACAAAAAAAATTTGTATAGACATGAAATATAAGTATAAAGGAAACATTTCAAAAGAATAACCTGAGGGAAATGTATGCAGTTTGTTATCTACACTTACTGCCTTCCTATTCAACATACTCTGTGATTTAAAGGTTAGCAAATGCAGTTATCACTTTCATGATTCTCAAGTACTAGGGTTAGTTACCTTCGGCGGATGAGGAAAAACTGTTCTTGTGGTTTTTGGACAGTAGTACAAGAGGTATGCTGTGGAAGAGATTGCCTCACCATGTTATATTTCAAAGACGACAGTGGTAACTGTAGTCTTCATTGTAAAGGTGGTGCTTAACTTTTTTTTTTTTAAATTCATCATAATGTAGCAAATACATATATTTTGCAAAATATTGCTCCCATCATAGCCAGGCGGAAAGACACAATGTCCATTGTCCTCTTCTTCTTAGCGTTCAGAAAGTACTGGTTGTTCATCCATTCCTGGACTTTGATCTTGATCAAGAAGTTAAGTTTTGCCAGCACAACCCTTAATAAAGATGTGGCTTATTTGTATGGAGACTGTTGGCAGATGCACTCTAAGGAAATTCCCCCCCCCCCCCCCCCCCCCCACACACACACACACACCCGCCACCTCAAATTAGTCGCCTCCTACAACATGATTGTTAGGATGGGGGTGGGCAGTGGTTCTGTTCTCTGTTTTCCAAAATGGAGCCTTGGAACACACACAGGGATGTCTCTTGTCAGATCTCTGTCTTGTGTATTTAGTATATTTACATGCACAAGATGACATTCCTGTATCAGCCAACAAACTGCTGAAACCCTGCACCTTTTCCCAGGATTCCTTTACTGTTTTCATAAGGGGTTAGGTTAATGCAAATCTCCCCAAACAAAGAAGGTCACTTTTCATTCACAAGTTTGTTAAGTTGGTCGACTTTCCTGAAGGTTACATTTGTGTCCTGCTCTATTTTTTGCTTTCTGTGTTGTCATGCATTTACGTTTTCATTCCGAGAAAGCGAATGCCTGTGACATAGGTTGCAGCACTCTCTAGGGGGGTTGTGTTAGGGTCAGTTGCTCCATGTTTTTTGGAGCGGTAAAAGCACTGGTGTGCTGAAATATACAACACACAGTTCAACGGCATCACGGAACACCTCCGTAACCTTGTGCCAAGGTGACAGGTTCGGTAACTATTAATCAGAAGTGACCTAGTGTGTATATGGGTGGGGCGTGGGGAGATTAACGGTACTTTTACCCCCAAGTGTAGCAATGTCAGTTCATTAATTAATTAATTCATTCATTCATTCCATCATTCATTCTTTCGTTCATTCATAACATGTTTGAAAACACCATCTGTCTAAGTCTAGTTTTTCTAATCAGTTTTACAACTTTTATCTGTCTTGAGGAGAACAGTCTTGTCTGTTTCTATTATTCTATGATATTTTTGATATCCTGATCTAGGTTAATCATTACTTATTTCTTCTCTGGTGCAGCTGGTAACGAATACAACCCGGCAACATCACTCAATGACTTCATGCGTTTGTCCCGTGCGTCTATGGGAACAAAGGGCTCATGTTATGAAGGAGGTTGCGGTGTGTGTCTGGTCACTGTCAAGCTGTATGATCCGGTCTCTCAGCAAAATGTGGAGTATGCTGTCAACTCTGTAAGTTAATGACTGTTGTGTCTTAACTCTTTGAGTCGCAGTGAGTTGTCACTTGTATGATTTAAGATAAGCTTTAGTTATTTATCTTGAAAAGATGGCAGACCAAACGAAAAGGAGAACCATTCAGCTTTGCATGATCACAAACACAAACGACAAGCTGATAGGTTGGCTGGATCTGCTATCACTACCGAAAGTCAACATATTGAATTATGCCGATATTATTTAAGCCCTTTGAGAAATGCGAAGCCTGGAGGACTTTGGGGCAGTGACTCCACATCACTCGCCAGAATGACAGACTTGGATGTTAAGATCGACTGAGCAAAAAACGAGATGCACATCAGGCACATTAGGGGCCTTGTTAATCAACATAAGTATCCCACCGGACACTGAGTTTCATACTGAGGTTAGGACCTGAGCACCTGTGAACATGTCTGGAGTGCAGTGATAAGTGCCAAAAAAAAAAACCAAAAACCACCAACAATCTAACTAAAAGACGACTAGTGAACGCTGCAGCTAGAGATCCTTTGTCAGCACATTACATGAATAATACATATATGATCAAGAAAAGACACAAATTACTTAACTTAAGTTTCTTTGAGAGAAATCACAAATATCTTTCTGGCCAGTTGAATCTCCAACACATGTGTGACCACCAAAAGTAAATACTAGCCATAAGAATCACTTTTAGTGTGTCTGATATCTCCATAAGTGCTCTAGTCTCCTCCTATGGATCACATAAAGAGAATCTCGCACAACTCCTTTTATTGGCAAGGATCTGCCTGTATAAATACAAGAATCACTTTTTTTATAAATATTGTTATTTAAATAAAAATAGATTTTGGGAGAGGAATGTAACTGTTTGGAGGTAAAAAAAACAGTACAGTTAAGACTAAAACAAAACCAGCTCCACACTAGAATTCTTAAGTAAAATATGTTTCAAGTGTACTTTTCAAGTAATTTAGATAATCAGATTGTCTAGTTTAACTTTGAAAAGATTCTGTTTCTTGCAACTCCAGTACTCTCTGCATTTGTTCACTTTTGATAAGCAGTAAATATTGAAAACACACAATTGTTTCATTTCTTGTAGCTTCAGTACTGCTTGCAGTGGCTCACTTCTATTGTGCAAAAAGTTGTTTCATTTCTTGTAATTTCAGTGCTGTTTGCAGTTGTTCGCTTGTGATGGTTTTGAGATTACCACAATAGAAGGTTTGGGGAATCCCCGGAAAGGTTTGCATGTTATACAGGAGAGACTGGTCGAGCATGATGGGGCCCAGTGTGGGTATTGCAGCCCTGCTCAGGTCATGAATATGTATGGGTAGGTATTACTGTAGTCTTTCTAAAAGCAGTTTGTACGCCATTGGCACACAGGGCATATGGTAACTATTAAAGTTGGGGAAATTACCTCGTTTACACCAGTTATGCAGCAGGCATATTGTGTTACTAAAGTAAATGACCTTGTTTACACCAGTTGGGTGGCAGGCATATGGTGCTACTAAAGTAAAGGACCTTGTTTACACCAGTTGTGCAGTAGGCATATGGTGCTACTCAAATAAAGTAAATTTCCTTGTTTGCACCAGTTGTGCGGTAGGCATCTAGTGCTACTAAAGTAATGTAAAGGAACTTGTTTGTACCAGTTGTGCGGCAAGCATATGGTGTTGCTAAAGTAAAGTTTTGCATACACCAGTTATGGGGGTAGCATATGATGCTACTAAAGTAAAGTTTTGTTTACACCAGTTATGGGGGTAACATATGATGCTACTAAAGTAAAGTTTTGTTTACACCAGTTATGGGGGTAGCATATGATGCTACTAAAGTAAAGTTTTGTTTACACCAGTTATGGGGGTAGCATATGATGCTACCAAAGTACAGTTTTGTTTACACCAGTTATGGGGGTAGCATATGATGCTACCAAAGTACAGTTTTGTTTACACCAGTTGTATGGCAAGTATATGGTACTAGTAAAGTAAAGTACAATACCTTGTTTGCATCAGTTGTGCTGCAGGCATATGGTGCTGAACTCATTTTTTGAAAGACCAGTTGAGCACTCAGTGGGTTATGTGGTCAACAGCACGCCGATCATGGTGCTAGATTTGTATATTTTTTTAAATTGATGAATCCGCATCAATGGTTGGTGTGGTCAGCATGATTTTGGCCACTTTTGCCTCCCAGGACATTTTACTGGCGCTTTTTTTAGACTGGGATGACATGGGAGCACAGATTAAAAAAACAAAAAAAAAAACAAAATCCTCGTTGATGTGGATTAAAAACCTAAGACTTTCTGACTGGCAGAGAGTTAGGCTCCCTGTAATATTAAAGGGTGCATTCATTTTGTGTGGTTGTATAACTGTAATATGTCTGACCGTGTTTGCTCTGTGTGGACGAGTATTAATATAATATGTGGGGAAAGTATAATTTGTGTGGATGAGTGTTACTACATTCTGTGTGGGAGAGAGTTACTGTATGTGTGGATGCTATATGTGGGTGTGAGTGATCTTTGTGGATGCGCGCTACTATAAGATGTGTGAATAAGTCTGATCTGTGTGCATGAGTGTTACTCTTATATGTGTTGGCAAGTCTGATATGTATGGATGAATTATAATATAATATAATATAATATAATATAATATAATATAATATAATGTAATGTAATGTAATGTAATGTAATGTAATGTAATGTAATGTAATGTAGTGTAGTGTAGTGTAGTGTAGTGTAGTGTAGTGTAGTGTAGTGTAGTGTAGTGTAGTGTAGTGTAATATAATATAATATAATATAATATAATATTATAAAATATAATATAATATATGTATGGATGAGTGTTGTTATGCTATATGTATGGGTGAGTCTGATCTGTTATGGACTGAATAATTTGATGTGCAGTGAGGACAGTCTGTCGACTATAAAAATATGAAAACTGCACACGGGAGCATACACAGCAGGAGTCTACCAGTCATCAGTAGAAGATCCTCCGTCAATAACTGTTTTGGCCCGTTACCAACCTAAACAATTTTGGAAGGTGGGCAGACCTGGGTCAGGATGCCAGACCCCAGTGTATCCTTCTGCGCTCAATTGGACATGTACGGGCGAGACGAAAGTGGTTCAACAGGTACTGGTGAGATTTGGTTCTTTTGTTTGTGATGAATTATCGCTGCGGTAGCAAATTGGCCGGCTACCTTCACAGTTGAGTGACAATCGAGATTTGTCGCAGGCCGTGTCGCCCCACATAGTATGCGTATACCATGGTTTGAGCAGGCTGTTGTGCTATTGAAAGATATGTGTTATTTGGTCTTAGCAGGTTGCGGAAAGACACTGGCGGACACTTGGAACTTTGGCTTTTGAAGGGATGTTAAGTTCTTTCCTACTAAACACAAAGTTAGAATAACTGCTTTTATCTGTCAGCTGATTTTGTTGTTTGTTCTTGCAGCCTGCTGCAGAAGAACCCCACAGTGACAGTGCAGCAGGTGGAAGATGAGTTTGATGCTACGATTTGTAGATGTACAGGTACATCATCATCACCATGACTGTCACCGTCGTCACCACCACCATCATCATAGTCACCACAATCATCATCACTATCATTACCACCACATCATTATCACCACCACCATACTATCTTCATCATCATAACCACAACATCATCATAATCAGCATCCTCATCACTACAACCATCATCACCATCATCATCACAACTATCATCACTGTCATCAGGATCATCACCATCATGACCACATCATTATCTTCACCATCATCCCTGCCCTCATGATGATTATCACCACCACTATCATAATCATTATCACCATCATCATTAAAGGTTAAAGGTAAATGTCAAAAGGATCGACTTAATTGTACTGGACTTTTAACTGCCTGCCGAGACTATCTCACAAAACACAGACACCATATCTCCAGCAGTGATCCCAAGTAGTCTCTGTAAAAATGAGTCAATTATAATGAATAAAAATGCTTGTTGCATAAGCAGTGTGATGCTAGACTCATACTTTTATAGATCAATCCGCACTGGGTGGGCAAAAATGGTCAGCATCACACAAACTGCTTTTACTTCTCAGCTGTACACACATGCTGTGATTGTAACTGATTCGCAGAGCATATTGAGAAAGGTGAAAACAGGCATGCTTCATGCAGAGTGGCAAGCATCACCTCAGAGGTCCCAGGTAGTTAGCATCCTTTGGATATTTTCTCCAGGTAATGCCGGTGTGTTGGGAAATGAGTTGGCAGATAGACTGGCTGGCTCTGCACCACTTGATGGTGAATTGATGTATGACAAGTTAGATATTGTGAGGGCTCTTGGGAGAGAGTGAGCAGTGAGGAGGCACAGATAGATAATTAGGTTTTAAGGAGAATGGGGCTTGGACGAGTTACCAGGGGATCTAGCCGACTCTCAACACTCAGGGGAAGGGTGAGACAGATATACAATCAGACGGTTACTGGTATTATCGGAACTGGAACTCTTCGCTTGCTGCAGAAGATGTAGACTGAGCACTTATGAGAGTGTCCTGAGTGCTGTGATGTTGATTCTTAATTCAACATTTAACTTCTCAGGACATGGCCTAAGCTGGGTCAGTCTGGGAAAACAAACTGGCTCCTTCCCCTGGGGGTTCAGAGCCTTATTGTAGGTAAAAATAAGGGTAGACCCTCTGCCTGCCCTAAAGCAAGTTATAAGAGTAAATTCACTGGGAGCTTCTTATGAAGTTGGAGTAAATCTGCTTGAGAGGCAAGGAACCAACAGTCTGCTTGCAAATAAGGCAGACCTGTGATACAAATGTGCATGCAACACTCCGTCTCTAGAACAGGACTAGAGTCCATAAGTTGATGAACAACCAGAACTTTCTGCCGGAGTTTACAGCCAGTGAACGCGAAGTAGAAGAAGAAGAAAACTGGCTCCATACAGATTATACTCAAGACCTTAGTTCCTGCTGAATGAACGGATGAATGAAACTATATTTTTCAAGAGTAAAAAATTGGGCATACTAGCCCAGTTTACATTCGATCCTTGCAGACATCAATTTTTCACACATTGGTAGTATTTTTATCTACATAGCATGTTATTTTCAGTAGCAAAATACAAATATGAGCATAGTATGAGCGTAGGGTAATAATGGAAAAGCATGGAGGGCAATTATGTACATTCAAATATGTATGCATGCATGCATACTCAAATATGTTCATACTTACACACAGAAACTTACACAGATGAGCATCTAGCCACTGTGCTACTACAACAGCTCCTATACCACATATTTTATAAACATAAATCTTATTTAATCAATTAAATATATTTGCAATTCTGTATGCCAGGTTACAGGTCCATTCTGGATGCAATGAAGACATTTGCTGTAGATGCTCCACAGAATCTGAAAGGAAAAGTTGTAGACATTGAGGTTGGTTCCTGTTACTTTCTTCCTTATCTGTGGCATCATGTCATCAAGCAACCGGTATATTATGGTAATGAATATAAGAGGAACTGCAATGGAACAGATGTCAGAAGTGTGTGAATGTAATTGGAATGTAACAATTGAAAATCAAAGAATCAAAGATAGGAATACAAAAATATACCTTATAAACACAATACAGGGTCTCCTTATCTTACGACCACGTTCCTTTTTGATTAACAGGTTGCAAGTTAAACTGGTCATAAGTAGAGTTTATATTTTTCACAACTATTTTCATTCAGATGGGTTATAAAAAGTGTAAAAAATACACTAATATCCAATCTATGAGCATACAGTTAGACACTGGACCCTAAGCATCAGTTCCAGGAACTTTTTGACCCTACCAGTATAGTTATCTTTCTTTATTTACTATCTTTATTTTTTACTTATATTTTGTGGTCGTAAGTGTAGGTGGTCATGAATCACAAATGTAGTAAGTCAAGGTTGAAAATGTATTTGTCAACAAGAAGAAAAAAGAAAGCTCCAACATAGACTACTTGAATTTTAAATGGTTGCTCGAGGCTAATAAAAATGGATACATTGAAAATGTTGAGGAAAATATGGCAGGGAGGAAGGGAAATGGCCACTCCACATGTCATAGCCTAGAATATGGGAAGGCCCATCTCTTCACAGCCCAGTGGCAGTAGTTTTTGTAAGACTGCCTTACAGCCTTTAAAAAATTAATATTTTTGCTCAGTAGTTTTGATACATTTCCCCAGGATCTGGATGCAAAACTTTGCAAGAAAACAGGGAAATCATGCAGTGGACATTGTAAAACTACTGGACACAGTGATCATAGCTGTAGTAACCAAATAGCCAAACCTGTCCACATTGTAGGAGCCAATGGGCAGTGGTTCAAGCCAACTAGCCTCAGTGAGCTGCAGGCAGTTCTACTCCAATATGCCAATAACAATTATAGGCTGGTCTTTGGGAATACAGGCTTTGGTAAGTTTGTTTATTTTATGTTAGATTGTTCATAATGACTTCTTTTTCTTCTTTTCCTTTTTGCCTCCCATTGAAGCATGGGATCTCAACCACCTTGCTTCCGTTGTGTTATCACTGCACCTTAAATAATAATAATTTTGTTTTCAATTACTACTCTGTGCTAATGTTATCAAAGTAAGACAATGGAGATGGCTTGGACATGTTCGCAGAATGCCTTGTGACACTCTGGCAAAAACAGCTCTCTGGTGGACAGCAGGAGGGAAAAGGAGATGTGGTCAACCTAAGGAAACCTGGAGAAGGACAACAGAATGGGAAATGAAATAATGTAAACTGACAGGGAATACCATGGACAGAAAAGCAGCAGACCGGCAGCAATAGAGATCACTTGTGAAGGCCTTATGTGTCAACAGTGACATGAAGAGGATATAGATTGCTCTGTGCTGTTATGCATTACACTTGTCTTGGATGACTAGGTAACCAAGCCAAAGTGTACTCGCTTGTCTGGTAAGCTTTGATGTTGTGAAGTCTCAGGATGCCTGCGACTTCTTCAGTCTGTTTTTTTCTAGGGTCCCCCCTGTGACTCTTCATGTTTCCCTTAACATTGTATGCTCCTGCTACTGTCATGGTTAGGCTCATTCTCATTAGGTTACTGAACAATTTCAGTCTTTGTCTCCGCAAATGTAATGATAGATATTATTCCTAAAGTTTTTTAAAAACTTGTCAGTCTCTTTGGGTTTATTTATAGCCTTTATCCTAAGCAATCACATGCTAGGATTTCTTTGTGGCGTTGATGTAGTCGTACTATAGGTAAAAGTAAAGTAAAAGTAAAAGAAACTTTTCCATGCCTTTTAGGCGTAAAGGGCATATAGGGCTAGACCTATATTTTATAGACCAACGGCACAAGATGGGTTATGTGGTCAGCATCATGCCGGCCACCTTTACTTCCCAGGACTGTACCCGGTACCCACTCAAGGCTAGGTCGACCTGGGAGCCAGGAGTCATTTAAAAAAAAAAAAAGTCCAGCTCCGCAGGCGAGCGTCAATGAGATTGTTGCTGATGATATTATTATCATATCTAGGTTTGTATCAAGAGCTCGGACCTTGGAACTTTGACATCCTCATTGACATCAGGGCTGTCCAGGAACTCTATACAGTTAAGGTAAGACTTTTCTTTTACTATTTTAATCAGCTGTTATATTAGTTTAATGTGTAAAGATCAACACAACCTGTGAAGATTAACTGTGAAAAGAGTGGAAAACATACTAGTGAGTTAACTTTAAAGTTTTTAAAAAAAATGTACAGGGACAATTTTATGCTATGTTACTAATGTTTTGGTGTTACCTTTCCTTTGGAGTAAACAAGATAAGTCAAGGGAGGGATCATGCTGCACCAGCAACACATAGTCTCTACAGTACTACCCAGGCTTTGTGCTGTGGAAGAGGGTTGTGCTAGTCACACATGCCATGGTTGTAATTCCCACGCCCGCCTATAGCATGATATAAATCCAGTAAGATGGAAGGGTCCAACCCAATCTAAGGAACCATTTTTAGAATTTAGGGCATGCTGGGTTTATGGTGATCATCCCATATACATATAGACCAAATGCCAGTTGATAAATGATGTGGGCAAATGCACTCCGACTTCAAAGGAAACATCTCTCATTAGTTGATTTTTACAACATGCTTGTTTGGGGGAGGGGCACTGGGGCTACTCCACCCCCCCCCACCCCTTCTGTATGGGGAATCTTGTTTTAAACTTTCTAGTCATTTGTTTATGTTCAGTGAATTCGTTTTTGAAAAATCCACCTTGTTGGAGATTTAAACATATGACCAGCTGACAGGCATTTATCATGCTAGCAACTGCACCAGCAATGCTGCTTATTTTGTGAAGCTTGGAATTTAACCTCAAATGATACAATTTTATTTTTCTGTTAGATAAATAATGATGTGCTGTCTCTGTTTTTTCATGCTCACACAATACAAAATAAATTTTTTCAATATTTCCTTTTACTTATTTTGTAAAAAGTGTTGAGAATTTATAAAAATTAAACAAAGAGTCAAGTAACAGTTACAGGTCAGATACACCTTCACAAATAATTGGAAATACTTCTGAATATTTGTCCCTCTTCCTTCAAGATTCATTGTGTGCGATGTTGTTACATGTACACTGTACAGTAGGAGTGTTTATTTCAAATGGAGATAGGAGTGGGATTGGTGTAGAGAGAAAGTATGAGAGGCATGGAGGGAGAAAGACACATAGAGACAAAGAGAGAGGGACATAGACATATTCACACACATACATACATACACAGAGAGAGAGAGACAGAGAGAAAGAGAGAGAGAGATGGAGTGTGTGTGTGTGTTTATATTTTAGGGGGGTTTCAACTCTGTATGTAACTTTGCTTTGAAAGTTCATAAAAAAGCATAGATGTTTGAAAGTCATCTCATTTATATTAATTAATGTGGATTATAACTGGTGATTTAATATTTAGAAAAAAAAATTATTACAAAAATAATGAACAACTTTGGTTTACTATTAATATCACACTATTTTCAGTATTGCAACATATAATATGATTTCAGCTTGGTTCTACAATTGTGCTGGGAGCAAATCTGTCTTTGCAAAACCTCATAGACATCTTTGAGCAAAAGGCAACTGATCCCTCTGTTCCTTATGCGTCTGCATTTGTTCAACATTTGAAAATAACGGCCCAGCATGGAATTAGAAATGTGAGTTTGAGTAATAATGTTTTTATAAATATATTTAATCTCTGAGAAATGAGTGGCCAGACAGTCAGATTATTTACTTCTCACATTGTACGATGTGTGTTTCATTCTTGGTAAGGTTGGACACATGGTATTTATTATAAAAACAAATCTTTGACAGTACATTTTATTTTGACAACTCAAGCAAGCAGTCTTTATTCATCAACCCAGAAGATATCTCCTGGCAAAAGCCAGAAATGGTACATGTAAAGAAAAGAAACTCAGTTTGTGATTACGGGAGGTGGTCAGAAAGTTTGACCATTTAGTATGCTGTCTATATTAGCCAGTCCCCCCTCTGGGAACACATTTCTAGGATGATCGCATGGAAGTGTAGATGAGTCTTGACCAGTATGATAGATAAGTCTTGACCAGTATGGTTGATAAGTCTTGACCAGTGTGGTAGATAAGTCTTGACCAGTATGGTAGATAAGTCTTGACCAGTATGGTAGATAAGTCTTGACCAGTATGAACCCTTTTCCTGGTTTGTCCACATTCAGAATCTCATATAGCATCTTTTGATAAAGGATTAGACACTTGTCGGTTGAATGAATCAAGAACCGCATCACTGCACTTTGGACATTCCCACATGTGTTATGTCTCTTCCTAAACAGCTAGCGAAGAGTCAGCATGCTAACAGTACCAACTGCAACCTGTCCATCTTAATATTCCCCCTCAGTGTTTATCTTCCAGACTCTCTAAACACCCCCCCCCCCCCCCCCCCCCCACCCTCCTGTTGAATTAGTCTTTCAATGCATGGGTTGACTTTCTGTTCTTTTGCACTGTCCATTTGATCCCAGAGAGTTTTCATTACTTGTAAGTTGTAATTTTCTACGAGTTTTCACTTAATGAAAATGGACAACTGAATAAACTATGAGATAGATAACATTCATATTATCCTCATATAAATGTTATTATAGATTGTGAAACACAAGGTATAGTGAATAAATAAGCTGGTCTGGGAAAAAGATCTCATAATGTAACCTGCAAATGCTTGCTCAGAAGTTGATTCCGATAATACCAGTAACTGTCTGATTGTACATCTGTCTCACCTTTCCCTTGAGTGTTGAATGTCGGCCAGATCCCCTGGTAACTCCCGGAAACGCCATTCCAATCAGAACATAATGATCTTTTTGTGCCTCAGAACTGTTCACTTGCTCCTAAAGGCCCTTAAAACATCTAGCTTGTCATACATCAATTCAGCACCAAGTGGTGCAGAACCAACCAGTCTGTCTGCCTACTTATTTCCCAACACACCGTTATGACCTGAAGAAAATATCCAAAGGGCGCTAACTACCCGGGACTTCTGAAGCGATGCCTGCCACTCTGCACGAAGCATACCTGTCTCCGCCTTTCTCAACATATTCTATGAATTTGTTAACAAAAATACAATTTACCGAGAAATTGAAAATATGAGTTTGATCCTTGATGATTTTCTTCTTTGTAGATGTCCAGCTGGGCTGGGAACCTGATGCTAAAGCGAGCTCATCTGGAGTTTCCTTCTGACATATTTGTTCTCCTGGAGACGGTTTCAGCACAACTCACCATAGGTCAGTAAGTCAAGTCGTACACAGGACTCTTTTCATACCATTAGATCAATTGTCAGGTGATGCTGAACCAGTGGCTGATGTGGTTAATATCACAATGGCCATCTTTTCTTCCAGGACAGTTCCTGGTACCCAGTTTTAGGCTGATCCAATCTGCCGCAGTGCGGTTTATTTTATTTCTGACGCTAAAGTTTTCATCCTTTAAATAAAATAAAATTTAAAACAAAATAAAAATAAAAAATGAAACCACTGTAGCCTCTTTATGCTTACCATTAGTTTACATTAATGTATTAGTTTTTATCTTGCTGATGCCTTCTGGAACATGGCATTGATAACACAGAACCACAGTGGTATTATTCATGTTATCTACATGTCACTATTAGGTAGCTAAAGGTAACTGCTTATATATATATGCAACACTTAAATTCTGGAACAAGACTAAAGTCCATAGGTGGACAAACAACCAGAACTTTCTGCTGGAGTTTACAGCCAGGGAACACGAAGAAGAAGATATATGTATGAGTTTGAGTTTATGTATGTGTACACATGCGTGTAGGTGCATGTATGTTTCTGTATGAGCATGAGTGCATGTATGTATTTCTATAACAGTGTGTATGACTGAGTGTGTCTGTGTTTGTATGGGCATGTAAGACTATGTGTACATGTATATCTGAAGTGTGTATAATTGTGTATATATGATGTGTGCATGCATTATTTCACTGTGTGTATTTTTAAATAAACATAAAACGCAATTGTGGTCTGAAAGAAAAGTGCTTGGAAGGGCCTAATGTAAGGTTGGCTTGTGTGTCCAATTTATAACCATTTGAAAATAAACTCATTTGTTCATTCATTCGTTGCTTTCAGAAATCACTGTTTAAAACATTTGAACTGTTAGTGGTAAAATGGATGAGCTTTTCAACATATCTGCACTGAAATATATTTGAGTTTAGTTAAGTTAGGTTGAATTAAGTCGAGCTATGTCCTTATTTTCAGCGGGCAGCACAAAGTTCAAATTTTGATGGTACCAATAGCATTCTGACTGTGTTTCTGTCCTTCCTTTTCCCTGAGTGTTATGTATCAGCCAGATTCCCTGATTGTCGGCCAGATCCCCTGATTGTCAGCCAGATCCCATGATTGGCAGTCAGATCCCCTGATTGTGAGCCAGATCCTCTGATTGTCAGCCAGATGCCCTGATTGTCAGCCAGATGCCCTGATTGTCAGCCAGATGCCCTGATTGTCAGCCAGATCCCCTGATTGTCAGCCAGATACCCTGATTGTCATCCAGATCTTCTGATTGTCAGCCAGATCTCCTGATTGTCAGCCAGATGCCCTGATTGTCAGCCAGATCCCCTGATTGTCAGCCAGATTCCCCTGATTGTCAGCCAGATCTCCTGATTGTCAGCCAAAATGTTGTGGTTAATTCTGAAACACCCTGTAAAGGACACCCAACTAACTAATAATAATAGATAATTAAAAGTGATTTTCCTGTCTTCAGTTGATGCGAATGGAGTTCAGTCAACCTGCAGCTGTGCTGAGTTTCTCAATGTGGACATGAAAGGCAAGGTGATCATTTCAGCCAGTCTACCCACCTACAGCGGCACAGGTGTCCAGGTTAGGACTTACAAAACATCATCCAGGTTACAGGTAGGTAATTTACATTTATAGTTTTATACACTCACATGCTTACAAATAGTTATGTTAATGTTTATTTGACGGATCAACATCACGGCACACGGGTTTAACCCATAAGTGCTCCGTTATACTTCTAACTCAAGCCTGAGTCTAAAGAATCTCAGCGCAGTGCACAAATTCCATTACACCGGCGAGGATCCTGAAGTACTTTGGGTAGATTTCTAATTCAAAATTGTTGCCCGGGCAGAGCTGTTAGGCTACTCTTTTTGATTTCCAACTGCCAAGGGATTTGTTTTACATGCACAAGAATACACTTGGGCATCCGATCATACTACCCAGAGACCAGGGAAAATTACTAAAAGTGCACGTGACAAAATCCCAGTATCACCTACCTCTGATCGACCTTGCTGGTGTGTAGCTCGTGGTACTGGCCGGTGAAGGACAATCTAGACTATACACACTAAACCGCAACACTTCCTGGAGCACACACAACAATCTTTAATGAATAATCACAGAACAACATATCCTGAGCCTGGGACTTCCAGCACTCAAGGCGGACACCATACCTCAAGACCACTCAGCACCCAAATGCTTACAAATGCACATACATAAATTACACTCTTCCCGTATGGTTTCTAGGGCCCCGTTCTGAGGGACATAAAAATAGAAACTCTGCCCCTCTGACAAGCATGTCATAAAAGGTGACTAATCTAGAGTTGTTTCCTTTGAAGTCAGAGTGCATCTGCCTAGGAGGTGAGGAACTAACAGTCTGCATACAGTTTTGTAAAATGATGTGAATGCAAAACTCACTTTCTGGGAAAAGTTCAAAAGTGGAAGAACTATAACTTTCTGCTGGAGTGTACAGCCGGTGAATGATAAGAAGAAGAAGAAATCTACACAGATGTGAAGTTGTAGTGACTACATCTGTACTCACATTCAAAAATGGAAAGAAGGGGGAGGGGGGTTGGCGGAAAGGGGGGGGGGGGGGGGGGAAGAGATAACATCAAAATAAAAATACCGTGATTGAACAGTTTTGAAAAACCAGGAGAAGACATTTCACACATAACACCTGGAGATGTGCTGTAAAAAGAAGTCTTGAATAGATGAATTGGGGAAAACAAGTAGAGATGGTAGAAATGCATGCTAATATCAGATGGAGCCACTGTTTCTGTATGTATCCCACTTTGGTATTCTGTTGCATTTTCATTGAGTCACAAAGAAAGCATGAATTGGTTAATTCCAGAGTTTTCAGCCATCCAGGAGCCTTTATAAAGGCCATGACCTCCTTTTACATGTAGCTGGTGGTAGAAGCAAAGGCTTCATTGTCTTCTTGATAAACCTGCATTAAATGCATAAGGCAGCCATCAGAAGTGCCAACAGAAACAGTCCAACACTAGAAGCTATTGTTACAGTATGACAAATGGACTCACTGCCCCAACATATAACCACCTAACTTCTCCGTCTTCTTCCCCTCATCCTCCTGCTCGTCTATTTTCTTCTCTTGCTTCTTCTCTTTCTCCTTTATCTTCTAGTGATCTCCTTCTCCTTGTTCACTTTCTCTCCAAATTTTTAATGATCTCCTCCTTGTTCACTTCCTCCCCCATCTTCTAGTGATCTTCCCCTTGTTTACTTCCTACCTTAACTTCTAGTGATCTCCTTCTCCTTATTCACTTTCTCCCCCGTCTTCTAGTGTTCTCCTTCTCCTTGTTCACTTCCTGCCCCTTCTTCTAGGGATCTCCTTCTCCTTGTTCACTTTCTCCCCCATCTTCTAATGATCTCTTTCTACTTGATCACTTCCTACCCCATCTTCTTGTGATATTCTTCTCCTTGTTTACTTCCTGCCCCTTCTTCTAGGGATCTCCTTTTCCTTGTTTTTTTCCTCCTCCATCTTCTAGTGATCTCCTTCTCCTTGTTCACTTCCTCTTACTTATCTTTCTCTTCCTCAACATCCTCCTTCACAACCTGTTCCTCATTGATCTCTCCCTATTCCTCCCATTCTTACTTTTTTACTATTCACACTATATTACTTATGAATTTTTTTTTTCATGCACGTTCTGCCTTTATTTTTAAATAAAATCTATTGTCGGCATTATTCCACTTTGTTTCTCAATGCCAGTTTACTAATCCTGTCTCCTCTTTGTTAAATTATGTAAATTTTGGCAGAATTTAATCTTTATTGTTATTATATTTATTGTATTATATTAAATATACATTCTTGTCTTGTTTTAGGCCAGCCAGGCTTTTATCAATGCAGGATTCAATTTTAATTTGGATGCCAACAACAATTTCCTCGTGAAAAGTAGACCATCTATTGTGTTACAAGGAATAAATTCAGCATTAGTGAGTTTTCCTTTGGTTGTAGTTAAGCATCATTTTAAATAAAAATGCACACTCAAAGCCCCATAAGTACTCCAATATACTCCTATAAATCATGCTGAGAGATTTGCTGCACAATGCACAAACTTCATAGCACTTGTGATGATCCGGATGTGTATACTAGAATCATACTATGGAAATTTATATCTGTGGATACAGTTGTTAGTTTTGATTGTTAACCTTATAATAAGTTTATTTATTTGACTTTTGTTTTAGTTTCGATTGTTAACCTTACCAAAAGTTTATTTATTTGACTTTTGTAGTGCGAACACAATTAATATTTTCCGGGGTACCAGCTGCAGAAAGTTTAGCATCAGTCCACCTTGTGTTGATTTTGACAGAGGTATTGAAAGCCAGTCATTCAGAAAGCAATGGCAAACCGCTGAATATAAAATTTAAAAAAAAGCCAACAAATTCTGAGATTTTATTTCTGCGAAATCCTGTAAAGGATGTGCCCCTAACTTAACTTTGAATTTCCAATGCTGAGGGATTTCTAATTTTTGCAGTGAGCCTGTAGGTCTTTCAAGTCTAGACCTCTAATCCATTGCCTTAGGATTTGGAGAATTTTTTTCTTATTCTGAAAATAATCCACAACTGAGTAAAACAACTTGTTATTGCCTGTAGTCGCAATTTTTAGGATCACATAGGACAGGGGGAGCCATTGTTGTTTAGATGCTAGACGCTCACCTACGGATTGAAAGGTCATTGGTTCAGGTTCTGGCGGAAGCAGACTTTCTTCAAGAATGATGTTGGCTCCAAGGTTGACCCAAAGTAAAACGCGTACCAGGTAAAGTCCTGGGAAATAAAGACGGTCATTATGATGTTGTCCACGTCAACCACCGAATGCTGATTGGTAAATGAAATATAGGTCAAGCCCTGTATGCCTAATATACCTGAGGGCTGAAAAAAAGGGGTTGGACACTAGGAATTTAAGATTGTTTTTTTTTACCTCTGATAGAAAATAAACATCGGGAAAAACTCATGTAATGAGAATAAACAGGAAATATAATAACAAAAATGCTCATGTTTATGGTTTTACAGTCAAAGAAGAACAAGAATTCAAATATCTAGCAAGCATATTTACAGAGGATAGCATATTCAGTAAAAAGATAGAAGCCAGTGCACAGAAGGCAAATGATTAATTCCATCACCAAAGCCACTTGAGAAGAACAACAATACAGCAACCCTTACACTGAGCTACAACCTGGTATCAGTAAGACAACAAAAGAAGAAGAAGAAGAAAGAAGCCTCCAACAGAAAAAAAAACTTCAGTCATTTTACCAGAGATTCAAAACTGGGTCCCACATGGAAAAGATGGAAACCGGGTCATATGGGTGAAGAGATTAGGGCCTCAACATGTAATATTCCCAAAGACAGCATTAGGGGCACTGTAGCCAGCTTTCGTTGTGGGGATGCCTGTCCGACACCTTCTAATAGGATGCCCACACGTTCATTAACATGTATTACCATGTTTCCACTTCTCAAAGAATGTTTTTTTAAGTACTCATAATAATTGTAGAATTAGTCTGGCTTCCACACAAAGTTATCAACTACTGAGTAACCAGCCATTTATTCTTATAGCTCACAAGCACACTAATCCCAGGTAGTCACTGGCTAAGTACATCAACAGTACGCTGGTATAGCTGATCACAAATCATCCTAGCAATGTGAACAAAGTCATGAAAGGCTAGCGGATGCATCTGGAGCAATAATTACATATCATCATGGCTACCACAACTAAATTTATAATCCCGGCTACACAAAAGAAACACTTGTCACAAGTATGAATAACTACTATCCTCTCCATAGCTTTAAATCCAGTCCATGCCAAGCGAAAACATTTCCCACATTTTAAGGGCACCAAACAGACACATCCGTTCACTAGACTATCAAACTACTAACTGCCGTGCATTGCTCTACCCATTTGTCAAGTCGCCTTCAACCTTCCCCTTACCTGTAATAGTAATACCCTTATAGCACTGCCAGTCTACACGCAACCCGTCTGACCAGTAATTGACCTGTCTGCTGGTATGTGTCCGAATCTTGTTGTTGTTTGTCTTTCTCCTACAGTGTGTGGTAAAGTTGACTCATGACAGCCTCATTTTTTAAATGGTAGTCTCACTTCAAATACCCAGTTGCCCTTTCTGGTTCATATGCATACACAGGCAACAAGTATGGTTTCATTCTATGGGAAATAACTGTTCACTTTGTTATATCCTGTTCTGATTTGGAACAGATCATCTGTTTAATTCAGTCAAGGTAGTAATATTATTAAAAGTTCATGTTAGTGGCAGTCTTGAGATTATTAACTACTGAACGATATAATTCTCCCTATTTGGATTCTGGGGAGCGCCATTTTTGGGTTTTAAAAAAAAATGTGACCCATTAAGCTGATTAATTTGATATTTGCTGAAACAGGGTTTGTTGGACTGAAAGCTACTGATATTGCAGCCTAGCTGTAATACAACCATGCAAACCACCTTTTAAGGCAGAACACAGAAGAGGATATAATACAAATTATACACACATATATATATATATATATATATATATATATATATATATATATATATATATATATATATATATATATATATATATATATATAAATATATAAATATATATACACAACAAATATACAAGGGCCATTTTGTTGAATAACATTTAAAAAGCAAACAAACATGGAAACTAAAGAAGAGGAGGGAAACATGTATCTACAGGTGAACATTGTGACCAAAGACTTTATCAGTGAACAACAAAACAAGAAGAATACCTAGCAGGAAATGTATCATTGTCTCCTTAAAAAAAACACCTCACTTTTTTTAACAAACTAACAGGACCATAAATTGTGGGACAAAAATGTTAAAGTATATTGTTTCTGGGAAAAATGTAAATATGTTTAATTTCTTTCTGTGCACTACTGATAGACTCATGCAGTACAGACAGAAGCATTTCTTGTGAACAAGGCTCTGGGAGACCCAGCAGTACTTCAAGGTGAATGTTGAGTTACAGGGCATTAGTTTATACATTTATTGATGTGTGCCAAACAACATGGCGTGTGTTATAAACTATACTTTTTGTGTGCTAGTCAACATGTCATGTGTTATAAACTATACTTTTTGTGTGCTAGTCAACATGTCATGTGTGATAGGCTATTCTTTATGTGTACCAGTCAACATGTCTTGTGTGATAAGCTATTCTTTATGTGTGCCAGTCAGCCTGTCATGTGTTATAAGCTTTTTTTATGCATTCCAATCAACATGTCATGTGTAGTAGGCTATTCTTTATGTATTCCAATCAACATGTCACGTGTAGAAGGCTTTTCTTTATGTGTTCCAGTCAACATGTCATGTGTAGTATTATGTATACTTTATGTATACCATTCAATGTACACTGTTGGAATATACATTACTCTTGTGTGCTAATCAGTGTATCTTGTGTGATTGTATTTTATACCTTATAGTAATTAAAGACATCAGACCATATATTTATTCTATATAAAATGTCTGTATTTGTTATCATTAAAATGATTTGGTTGCTGTCATTAATCCTGCCCTTTGAACTCAGCTGCAACCTTCTTCTTTATCTTCCTCTGTGTTTGTCCAGTTCATCCAAGGATGTATATGCATTGTGCACATTTACAGCATGGCTGCGATATTTGGGCCTTTTGGTCGGCACATCTGCCTTTTGCAGGCATTTGTTGTCTGGGTTAACCTTTCTGGGCTGTAACCTTCTAAAACTGTAATAGCTGTTTCAGCAAAAAATCATCAGCCCAATAACAGTGACTTTTTTATTTGTTACTTGTTATCTGCATCAACATCCAAGCACATAGTTCTGGCAAATCCTCCAATGCAGCAACTAACCCAGTGTTTCTATGCTCACTACGTCCAGTAGTTGAGTGGCTTATCCTCTTTATGTGCCCCACAACCAGTGTCTGCATGCTTGTTCTTATTTAACCCTTTCCTACTACTCTCCCGGCCGTAGCTGTCTGCCATGTGCTAAGCGATGTGAAAAAAAAGTATCACTTGTATGCAGTAGAATGCTCATTGAGTCTGTCACTCTAAGTGTGAATAAATCCAACAATAATTAACCGCAACAATCATTTCTGTTTTTTTCTTTTCTGGTTGATTAGTGAACCACTAAAATAAAAAACAAAACTATTACAGTCATCACTAAAATGTTATTTTCTAGTCAGTATGGTAATCAGTAACTTGTATATTTTACCTTGTGCATTTTTTTCTCAGGTGCTTTGTCAACCCTGTCTTCTGAGCTGACACCAGACACTTTTCCATTGTGGACTGACCCATCATATAGGAGATCTCTTGCGATTTCTTTGTTTTACAAGGTAGAAACCTGCAATAATCTTATGTTCTTTAGCATACAGCTATATTTATTATGTGTATCTGAAAAAGTGAGTGAGAAAAAGAGAGAGAAAGTGGTTGTGTTTGGTTTGTTCCTATGTGTGTGTCAGAGAAAAAAAAAGAAGGAGAGAGAGGGAGAGAGAAAGTGAGAGAGTGTGCAGGTGGTATATGTTTTAAAATTACAATGAACAACCTGTTTGAAAAAAAGTATTAAACAAGGACAAGCATGCAGAAACGGGTTGCAGGGCAAAGAAAGAAGACACGCCAGTCAACTGCTACTGGGTCTTGTTAACACAGAGACACTAGGATGGCTGCTGCATCAGATGAAGGAGCACAAATGGGTGGGACTGATGTGCTGAGATGTTGATACAGATATCAAGTGATGACATTAAATTAAATGATAGAAAACAATCAGATCGTTCTTCAGTGAATCCCCGCTCACTGCGGCATACCAGGAATTGAGTTAGCAGACAGACTTGCTAAAATGGAACAAAGGAGAAACAACACACACATCCATTGTCGTTACCAGAAATCAGAACACTTGTCAAGGGAAAATACAAGGCATTGTGAAGAGAATAAACTAACAGTAAACATCCACAGGACCCCATCAGCAAACTCAACAGAAAGCAACATACAACAATTTTCAGTCTATGAACATGACACTGCAAACTCAACTACCACATGCATATAATAAAGATTGTATAGACCCCGCTGTGTGCCTGTCAAACAGGACCACAAACACCTGAGCACATTCTACAGACCTGCCCACTCTACATACAACTTCCAAAAGACATCTGGCCCCAAGAGCAAAGTGTGCAGAGCAAGCTATGGGGAACTATGCAGGACCTGCAGCTGACATGCAAGTTCATAGAGGCAACCCACCTAATTGTCTGATCTGAACATACTGAATGGGAAGAAGAAGAAGAAGAAATGACAGATCCAGCAGACCAGTAGGGAAATTATTTGTTAAACTAATATTGCTCAAGAATTATGAAGGAAATTAAAGAAGCACCAGCCAGTGCTACTTATTGAGTGCTGGATTGCAGATTGTTCCTCCCACCAATGCTTGTTGGCAGAAGTGGAAGTTATGCTTCTTCTTCTCTTAGTCCACTCACCTCTTTGAAGTGTTGGGGAAGGGGGGGGGGGGGGGTATGTAGGGATCTTCTGTGTGCTCTTTCAAATGTATTAGTATCATATGAGGTAATCTTTACATCTTTAAGGCTGTCCTGGATGCCATCATTCATTGTTTTGCATGGTCTTTCCCTCAGTCTGTGTTCATTTATTTCTTCAACGTGGCTCTCTGTGGCAGCAGTTACGAGGAAATTCTCAAGATATGAATAAACCATCTCATCTTTGCTCTTTAATGAATAGTATGTCTGGTTTTAGTCCTAGTCTTCTGTTCATTTCTTTGTGTTTTTTTTCTTGTTACTCCGACAGCTCTTCTAAGACATCTCATAACTGTAGTTCTGATACTGCACTGATTAGTTGCAGTATCCATGTAAGGGTCCATGTTTGACACTGGTGGCATAGAAGTGGCCAAAAATAGTTCTTTTAAAATTTGCCTTGGTGTCACATATCACTCCTGTCGCGTGCCTAATGTAAGGATTTCTCCTTCAGAACCAACAGCACTCAGAGATAATTATGTTGAGTCGTTTGGCTCGTATTGGTCTAAGGGATTCCCCGTGGCCAATATACGCTCAACTTATCTCTGGAGTAGGGCAACTCAAGTATTGGCACTACAAAATATATCAGTATATGAATACAATATTTCTAGGCACACTTGGCTGGACACCCCCACTACTTACTAAAGAAAGCCCCCAGGTTATGATAAGTCATTATCATAACCATGTTAACACATATAATGAAGATACATACACATACAACTGCTAAACACTTAAAAAGGTGAAATAGAGAAACCTAAGTCAGCCATGAAAGTGATTGCATGTAATTAGTATAATATATGTACATATAATATTGAAGTGAATTCCAGCTATCAGTGAAAGAATCTCAGCAACTAATGTCTAGATCCCAAGGAAGCTATACAGACAGCCGGTCCTGGAGGTGACTATATGTCATCATTGGAAACAAATGAGCTATGAGGAAAAAAACAGCACATGAAGCATCAGACTTAGCTTCTATCCTTTCTGTCTATGATGCCTCCTTCAGCTCTGGATGATTCGACTGTCTTTGATTCTGGAAATTCTGCTCCACTGGATCAAATAGTCAGAGAGTACCTCACCATAGAGGACACAATACTGCACTGGTACTTAGCAAGTCTCTATCACCAAGTAGACTACACATTGTTTTTCAGCTACCCTAAGCTCTAGCACTGGTAGGCTGTTTGAGGTACCATCTCCCACATGTTGGAGATGTCAGGAACCTTCACAGGTGTTAGCTGGTGGGTACAGTTAATTTAGGGTTGTTTGATTGATTGATGGGTGTTGGTTGGACTGTGAAACTTCTGCCAGCTCCTCACAAAGGATTTATCCCAAGCATATGTAAAAACTGAGACATTCCAGATTGCCTTGAAAGATGAAATAATACAGGCATAGATTGACACGTCTGGACGCTAGGAAGCTGGCAAAGAGAATAGCGTCACTTAGACACTTCAGGCGTTGGTGCAAAAAGAAGTCCCTAGTATACATGAGCAAGGAGTAAATCGGTTTCCACGAAACCTCAAATAACTCCCTTAATATATATCGAAGATATATACATTTAAAAGTGGAGTTTAGTTAAAGTAACCAGAAAAGGTAGACATAATAATGTTGTCCAATAAAGGCCTATATATATAGATATAAGGGACTATATATTTCTGGGCGAGTCCAAGTTTGAATTTTGTGCAGATTACAGGTAAGTCAGGTTATCAGCCTTACAGACCGATGCGTAATGGCTATCATTTCACGACACTTGGTATCTCTCCATGTGTCAAAAATGGTGTTAGTTACCCCAGTAGTTATAATGGTAAATACAATAGGTTTAAAGTCTGTCACTAAAACTTGCCATTCTGCTGTCTTGCAGTTTGTGCTGGACGTGTGCCAGAGTAAGGCTGATGCTCGCTATGCCAGTGGAGGGCAAGGCCTGGTTCGAACACCCATGGTTGGAACCCAGGATTATGATACGGACCAAACCAAGTGGCCACTCACAGAACCCATGAAGAAAATAACAGCACCTTACCTGGTAACTTGTTTTAAATTTATGTGATCCTGGTAGTAATGAAGTCAGGCCCAGGCAAACCGTGACTAGACGTTCATTGATGTGTCTTACTTCCACACGCCGGACTCTCTGTCACAGGGGTGTCAGGCTGCATAGTCTCCTACACTATGACCGCTAATATCTCACATTCTATACTACACAATGTTACCACCTCTTTCAATGACACCATAACATCTACTACTGACCCTAACCCCAACCCCCTACCCCCAGCCTAGGTCCCGTGAGAGAGTGCATTCTACGCTCTATGTTTTCAGACTTCTTAACATTTTGCAATGGCCCTCAAAATGCTGTGTTGCTCCAGAAAAGCAGAGACAGCCCCCTTTCTCGCCCGCAAATGGTGACAGCTGAAATAAACTCATGTCCTACTTGAAATCTGAGATGGCTATCATAACACACACATACACATTTATTGTAGATGTGTTCTGTAAAGCTGACTTATACTTTGTTTTCCACAACTTTTTTTGGCAAAAGAATCGTAACACTTTACTTGCCAAACATGCCATAAGAGGCAACTATCATATATGATTTCTAATATTACTGATCATGCTTGTACTGTCCTATAGAAACATTACTTCAGACACATAAAGTTAAAGTTGTGAAAATAACTTCATTGCACAGGCTTGGTCTCTCTTTATATAACAGCTGGCGCATACCGAAAGCTGCACACAAAACATAAACTTTGTAGCTCCAGCAGCGATCCTTAGAAAAAATACCTGAACAGTGCAGCTGGAAAATGAATCCATAACCTAGTGAGAACATGACACAATTTATCATTGAAATCCCCTAAGATCAGAAATAAGAGGTGTACTTTTACATATTTTTTTTAAAACAATGTTTGCTCAATTTGAATTGAAATAATAAGGACAGAAACAATATACAAGGTGTATTACACACTTTTTGTAAAATGAAGAACATGTTAAGATTTCGCGCATGCTACATAGAGCCAGTTTTAACATGTGGCTGTGAATCTTGGACAGTTAGTAGACAAGCCAAACAATTTCTTGAGCCATGAAAAATTTAATTTTACAGAAGAATTATTCAAATGACTTGGACAGCCAAATAAAATCAACCAAGATGTTTTGATGAAGGCATGGCTAGAAGACAACTTATGACATACATCAGAAAGACACAGTCTTCATTCTTATGTTATATTATGAGAAGAAAAAACTGGAACATATTGTGATTACTAGAAAGATCTGGGGAGAAAAGATATAGAGTAAGACAGTGCAAGAAGATTCTTAACAGCCTTATGTCATGGCAATAAGGGGTGTCAGCACACAAACTTATACATGTTGTTTTCCTATATGAGTTCTGGAGCCCCATTTGTTTAGAAAAACAAGAATTTGACACACTGTCTCCCCAACAAGCATGTCATGGTACATCTGAGAGGCAAGGAACCACAAATTTGCATACACATAAGCCAGATCTGTGAACCGTATGTGCACGCAACACTCAGGTTCTGGAGCAAGACTAAAGTCTTGAGGTGGACGAACACCCAGAACTTTCTGCCCGAGTTTACAACACGAAGAAGAAGAAGACGATATATGCTGAAGAAGACGATATATGCTGTGGAAGATCACAGAATGAGGAGAGGAAAGATTCCCCATCCCAGCATGCAAGACACTTGTTGATGATGATTGCACAATTGATTGCCTGAAATATTTTGCAGTGTCAGTGTATGTCCTTAACCACACAGGGATGTAGGTGACACCAGGCTGGTGTGGCCATGACGGGTGCCCTAATTATAACTTCTTTGAACAGTTATCTGGGATTGGCTCTCTTGGTTTGCCATCCGGAGTGATACCTTGTGATCTCAGGGTGGTCAGACCTTCAGGTAGCAGCCAGAAGAGGACAAATGGCACAGCACACAGCATTTTCTGTGTCTCTTACTACAGAAAGCTGGACTAGGCCATTTGTGTATTTTAATCAAAAGGATGAGAATGTCCAGGCTGACGAAATATAATGATCACAGAGCAAGGTGAAGACCATGCAAAAGATGATTGATGGGCACCTTTCCGGATGATAGTGGTGTATTGGGCTATGTGGAGGAGTAGGACTCACAGCCCATGGCAATGGCAAGTGTGACTAGCAAGTCTTTCCAGACAATAAATATTGTTATATCGTCCTGTGAGAAGGCATAAGGCTCACAGCTCAAGGCGATGGCAGGTGTGACTAGCAAGACCCGCCCGCATTAAGAAAAGTCTTTCACAATGATAGCATTGAATTTCAGGACCATTATTGTCAACTTTTTTGTTTAGTGTTTTTCTTCTCAGATGCTCAGCTTTCATCCTTCCTGCTATCATTTCTTCCTTCATTCTCATTCCCTGATGTGCCCCCTCCACACAAACAGTCCATGAATTTTTTTCCTACGAGTCCACCTTCATACCTGTATCGTTCATGTTCCGCTTGCACACATCCAAATGTCATAGTAAAGAATGGCCTCAACATCTTCTACCCATCTTCAATTCACCATATAGGATGACCTAAGGGCCATCATCCACTCTCCAGGTGTGACCAAGCTACCTGAGCCTTCGTAGACCGAGCACAAGATGGAATGGTGGCATCAAGCACTGTCTAAAGGAAATGTGGATCAGTTTATACAAACCCACTGAGTCTGCATACAAATAAGCCACATCAGTAAAATGGATGTGCATGCAAAACTCATGTTCTGAATCAAGACTGAAGTCCTCAAATGGACGGACAGCCAGAAATTTTCACCAGGATGTACAGCCAGTGGATGCTGAGAAAATGAAGATAGAACATAATATAAGGACCACACACAAAATCCTTGAATCTCCTCCTCTCCCTCCATACCCCCCTAGCTCAATACTTCAGTAAGGTAACTGGAGGAAAAGACGAAGAAAAGGAATTAAAAGGATTAATTTATATGCTTTATTATATATTGTTGTATATTCTGTAGTATACATCTGTTGAATAAATTGTGTTAAATTTATTTTATACACTTATTTGCGTTTTTCTTTCTATATATATATATATATATATGCCTGGCTCTCTAGCATAGTTGGCTAAACCGGATTGACGAACTTGTGGTCCGGTTTCACTCTCGGGATAGACAGAAAAGCCACATTTCTCCCAGATTTACGGTATTTAGAATGGAATCAAGGCTGAAAGGTTGCGATATCCATAATACCGAGCCTAGGGGTTAACAACTCATAGCTTCTGGATACTAAAACAAACAAACATATATATATATATATATAGATATATTGTAAACACGTTATTGTAGAAAAATGGGCTCAGTGTCTCTCTTGGGGAATTGCACCAAATATATATATATATATATATATATAATGTATTCTTAATATTTATTCATAAGTAATATTTAATGGATGATTTATGTTCACCAGGTCTGAGATATGCATTTTTATGTTGTTTTTAGTTCTTGTTTCTCATCAGGATCCAAACATACCTTTTACCTTTTCACCAGGTTATAAAAAAAAACATACTTATTGTTAGGAACATAATTTTATCATAATATTGGCATACACAATCTGTGTAATTTAATGAGTGAAATTGTTCAAATTACACACCATACCTTAAGGTTCAACCAATCAGTTAACAGTTCTCTTTCATCTTGGTCATCAATAGTTTTTAGGCATACAGGTTTTCTCTTCAACTGATACAAATTTTTAAAAAAATAATTTTGAAACAGAATAATTTGTTCTTTATTTCAATTTAATGTAGCCATCATGTGAACCCAAAATGCCCTGCTTCCAGTAACTAACTTTAGTCTTGCCATTGATAGGCTACAGGTGTTGTCCAGTATTTAGATGACCTCCCACTGGCCCCAGGAGAACTGTGTGCCTCAGTGGTCATCAGTACAGAAGGTAGTGCCACCATTGATACAGTCGATGCTTCAGCAGCTCTGGTAAGTTATAAATATTCTTGTCAGGCAATTTGTTAAAAAATAGTCAAAGAATGTAACATGGAATAAATAAATTCAACACAACATTTTACAGCATTATTTGTTGTCACATAATAATGGCACAAATGTGGCATTCCTCACAAACAATTATTATCTGGCACAACGAGTCCAGAACTCTTAATGGGCGCAAATAAAAGCAACGCTTCATCCTGGCAGGTATGCATTAACTTTTTTGTTGTTGTTTTGTTCTTGTAACAATTTCCGCCCTAAACACACTGCCGTTGGCATTCATTTATTCTTAATGACCTTTCACATGCGCTAGTCTAAGTTGCAGGGGTGTGACATTGTGTTATATTTGATCTTCTGAGCCATGTATATTGCTGTTGTGTATTGGTTGGTGTGAGCGGCAGGCGAGATTGCATATGTTATAGCTTTGTCAGACTTCCAGTAGGGCATGGATTTACTTCAGCTGTGAGCATTGAGGAGCGAAAAGGAGAGCAGCGCTGTTTTTCTGTAGCAAGACGGCTTTTTAGGGCCCATCGCAAAATGTTGATAATTATGAAACTGCTGGAGTCTAAAAATACATGTTGATTTGATTTGATTTGATATGATTCAAGAACCGACATCACAGCACTCAGGGCATTCCCATAAGCACTCCGTCCCCATCTTCAGTAGCCAGCGAAGAGTTTCGATACTAATGGTGATTAAACGACCGTCTTGCCTTTCCTCTGAGCCTCGAGTATCTGCCAGAACCTCTCGTCACCCCCAACTGCATCAACCTCACCAGACTGTGGTGATCCATCTGCTCCTCCGAATTGTACACGCTCTCCCACAAGGCACTAACCACGTCTGCCCTATCATGTATCAGTATTCCACCAAGCTGTGCAGAGCCAGCCAGTCTGTCCGCCTGTTCATTTTCCATCACACCAGCGTAACCCGGTGAAAAAATCCAAACAATACTTCTCACTCCTGTCCTCCGCAGCGAAGCATGCCACTCTGCACGAAGCATACCTGTTCTGATCTTCCTCAGCATGCTTTTTGAATCAGTTACAATCACGATGTGTGTGTGTGTGGTGTTCTCTAGCCAGCAAAAAGCTGCAGTGACGACCTCCACCTCCATTCTTAAGCTGGATGTTGTGGTATCATATGCTAGGCTCTCCTGCACCAAACGTCGACCATTAACTTTTGCTAAGAAACCCTAAGCACTTCTTTTGCCTCTTGACACTGAACCATCTGTGTAAATGATCAAATCCTCTGAGCTAGCATTATCTTGAATTAATTGCTGAATATCCACCTCTGTGACACCTGCTGGCCAGTCTCTGCATTCCCGGCTCAGCGTGATTATGACTCTACACAAGTCTGACTGTTCAGGTGGCACTTTGACCCACTCATCTCCTCGCCTAATTTTCTCAAGGATGCAAACCTGTCTGATTGCGTCTTCTGCCTGAGCCATCCATGACCTCCCTCTTATCAGCCGCTGACCCTTAACTGCACCCAGAGCTCCATGCAGTGGGTGGTCTGTGTCTGCAGCTATCCTGAGATAAGACTTCGCCTGCAGCACCTTGTGCCTACCTGCAACTGTCGGCAAACCAAGGATGTATCGCGTACACACCACTAGGGTGTCTCTGGTGCAACCCAGAATGACCCGCATAGCCGCGTTCTGTATGCGCTCTAGTTTGTCCATCTGACTCTTTGAGACGGTAAGCAGTCCCAGGCCATAATCCACCACTGACAGGATCAGGTGCTGATATAGTGTGAAAAGCATTCTCTCTCTAAAAATACATGTATTGGTGACTAGTGAGCCAGGACCTCTCACACTGAGGCTTACAGGAGAATTTGACATAATCTTTGTTTTTAGAGTAGACATTAAGTTCACAGGACACCCCCCACACACCCCCCCCCCCCCCCCCCCATTTTTTTTCCCGAACCATTATTTTATAGTTAATATATTAATTTACTGACCTCCTAAATGTTTGGGCAGGTGCAAACACAGCCAATAACATTAACTTTGTGTATTGTATACATGTTATTGTAGAAAAATGGGCTCAGTGGCTCTCTTGGGGAATTGCTCCAAACCTAATTGTGGGATTTGTGGCTTTTGGGGACAGCTTAGTTAAGAGGCGACTAAGTGATTTTGGTTTGATATTTCACAATAAATTTTTTTTAAAAATGCTGTTGGCAAACCAGCTGTGTGAGTTGTTGGAGGTCTGTGCTTCACTGGGAGATAAAGGACAGAAAAGTAAGACATATAATCTTTACCTTGTTTGTTCTGTGGCAGTCTAATGAAGACTTTCACCATTGTTTTTAAATAAATAAGAAAACAGTAGTGAAAGCAATCCAGTAACAGGTGTAACTGAAAACAAATTGTGCTATCTCCATAGTGAATGTTTTCTGCAATGTGTCCACTGCTAACTACTGGAATAAAACATGGTGAGATCTCACTGTTTTGCATGGTATGACTCTCATACCACTGTATGGAAGCTGAAAGAACAGTCTTTTTGTAAACCACCCACCATGGGAACCAAACATCGAGGATTGATTGATGTAACCATTTCACTAACCTCTGCACCTCGGAACACAAACTGATTAATTTATAAGTGAACTAATTCTGTTTACCTGTCCAGGCTGTGCCAGGTGTTGTTGCCTTCATTCAAGCCAGCGACATACCTGCAGGTGGTGTCAACAATTGGCGTCCATACGGCATTTTTGGTGACTTCAAAGAGGAGGTAATGGTTTTCTCCTTGAAATAATTATGTTACACATCATTTCTCAGGAGTCCTAGTGGAGTGGTTAGACGTTGACTTGTCTGACAGATTTCTTGAGTTTAAATCCATCTGGGTTGATTTTTTTTCTTTGACTGACCTTTTCTTCCTGGTCTTCTTCACCTATTTGCATAGACCAATCAGAACTTGATTCATGATGTGATAAATATCACAATAACCGCCTACACTTGGTATCCATTGTTAGCTTGATAGGTTTAAAAAAATGTATCTGAGTGGGAACTATTTTTTGACCAACTCTGTGCTTCCAGTGTTAAGCATGGGCCCTGACTACAACAAATGAATTCAAAATCGTAACAATAGAGATGAGATGTGTCAGAAAAAACTGCCAGAGTAACAAGATGAGATACAATTATAACTTAAGAATCTAGAACAAGACTAGGACTAGGGTAATTATACGTCCCGTTTCTGATTGTGATCTTGTCGTCTGATCAATACTCCAGAAAAGTACCAATTGTTGTCTCTTATAAAATTCTAGAAATACACTCAAAAATACTCAAAGATAGGCATAGGATATAAGTGACTCCTTGAGTATGGAAAGTAAATGACGCATGAGAACTGGCAAGAGACCGAGTTTCTTTCAGGCAGACCGTGATGAGAGCGGCATTTTGCAAAGGACCTGCTACATGACGATGATGAGAAATGCACTTAGACCTTATAAGATTGAATGATTTTATGAATTTTTAATAATAATAATAATGAATTCTAGGATCAGTTTTTGAGTGGGTTGGTATTAAACTGACTTGTTAGTATGTTTTAGCTCAAGATGACTTCCGGTGTAAACAGCCACAATGGCGGTACGCTTTTTCGTCTGTTGAGGCGAATGGCGCAAATTAACTATTTTCGCTCACGTATAATGTGAAAGTTTCATCGGAATGGGGTCTCAACCGTGCAATGGAGTACATGCACGTGAGTTCAGACTTCCCTCAGGGTGTGTTCAACGTCCGATGGCGACTATTCACCAATTCAAAACAACCCATAGACGGACAAGGAGAACGCGAACAGGCAAGCACGGTGGCGCCTGCAGGAAGCGGCTGAAATGTGAGAGACTCAGCTTAAAGTATGTTCGCGTTCTCTACTGGAACTGCGCTTCGTTCAGTCAACGCCGACCCATTTTTGAGAAGCTCCTCTACAGCAACGACATTGTTGTCCTACAGGAAACACACCTCGGTGACGAGATCGTTAAAATTGCGGGCTTCCAATCCTTCTACAATAGACGGCACCTCGGACAGCTCATTCTTGTTCGTGACAACATACCGGTGTCTGAGGTGGACATGTCTGAGTGGGATAATGACGACCTACAAGTACACGCAGTCAGAGTGTTGGGCCCGGCCCAGTTTGTGATTGTCAATGTGTACGCCTGCAATGGAAAGGTGGATACAGCGAAATGGCAGAGTTTGCTCCAGACGGAGGAAAAGAAAGTCCTTTACTGCGGAGATTTCAACGCCAGAGGAAACCACTGGGGAAATGTAATCACCAATAAACAGGGGGAAGACCTGGAGGATGCCCTAGTGTCTGCCGATCTAGTATGCTTGAACGACGGAAAGGTTACCCGAATGGCAACCCGACAAGGGGATTCTGACAGCGTAATTGACCTGGCCCTAGTGTCTCCCTCCATTGCATCAGGATGCAGGTGGAGCACACTGGGATACCATGACAGTGATCACTTTCCTTGCGTCGTCCTGGTGGAGAAGAGCAACAACAAAGGTCATGTAATCAATGTGCCTGCTTTTCTATATGACCGTACAGGGCAAGATGCCATTAGCAAAATCAGACGACGTAAAACAAGAGCAGATCGCAGACGGCGGGAGAGATGGGCCCAGCCACCATGGTGGAATGAAGTAGTCAACATGGCGTGGCTAGAAAAAAGGAACGCTGTCAAGGCATGGCAAAAGGCAAGGAAAATTGATCCGTCACTTTCTGAACGCCTGATCAGTCTAAAAGATGAGGTTAACAAGCGGACAGTGGCTTTCAAGTTAATTGCCAAAGAAGCGAAGACAGCGAAATGGAACGAATTCTGCAAGAGCGTTTGCTCCGAGGGATCTCTTGTGACATTCTGGCGCCTTCAACGGAGCATGCACGGCGCCGCACGACCAAGGGGTATCCCTGATTTTCAGGGTACAGACCTGATATGGCAGAGAACTGATGCTGAAAAAGGAAAAAAACCCTTCTTGCGCGCTACTTGGAGCAAACTGACCAAAAAAGACGAAGCTGCAAGAATAGGGGTTAAGATGAAACTGTCGATGCTGTGCGAGAACACTGAGCTAGGCACTGATTTCACAATCAGTGCAGACACCTTAAGAACTTGCCTCAAGAAATCGCGCAGCACTGCTCCAGGCCCTGATGGCATCCGATACAATGACATGCTGATGATGTCGAATGCTGATTTGAAAAGCGTGGCAAAGGAATTCAATATCAGCATCCAGAGTGGCCAGATACAAGAGGAATGGCTCCATAGTTATTTGTTCCCACTACCAAAGCCTAATAAAGACCACTCAAAGATCTGCGGCTACAATCATCTCGATGCAGAATACTGTTGGCAAATTTTTGGAAAAAATTGTCGCACAAAGATTGACCACCTACTTGGAACTACATGATAAGTTCCCATCAACACTTGGAGGGTACAGGTTGAAGAAAGAGACATGGTTCATAGCTGCTGTTTTCGCCTACGATGTGTACGAGGGATTTCAGATTAAAGAAGAGACATGTGCGGCAGTGTTGGACTTAGAAGATGCCTACAATAAAGTACCATACAAATATTTAATGCAATTACTGCTTAAACTAGAAGTCAATCCTATTCTGATCCGCTGGATTGCTGCGATCCTGTTCCAGAGAAAGATTGTACTAAGATGTGGTAGCTGGTCCTCAGAACCGCAAACGATATGTCCAGGCTTGCCACAGGGATCACCGCTATCACCAGTCTTATTCAACGTTTATACGGTGATGATCACTGAGCAGCAGTTGAATGGAAAGGGAAGGACTTTGTCATTTGCTGATGACATTTTGATTTATCGACGAGGGCGTGATAGACAGGAGATCGCCAGCACAATGCACAAAGAACTCGATCGAATTGCCGCCTGGTGTGATGGTTCCAATGCCTATGTCAATCCTTCGAAGGCATCAGTGTCATGGTTCTCTTTGAACAATCACATTGTCAAGTCGGACTTACCAGAAGTGAAAATGCGTGATAATATATTGATCAGAACCAACGTTATGACGTTTCTCGGGGTGAGGTTCGATCGCAGCTTGTCATTCAGGGAACACGTTGACCATGTGATAACAAAAGCACGCAAAGGTCTATCTGCAATGAGGATTATGGCTGCTTCCAATATCGAGCAAAGACTACTAATACTTCTATTCTACGGTCTGGTCCTTTCACCCATTGAATACGCTCTGGCCATCCTCACTGTCAGTGCTACCCAGATTGAAAGACTCGAAAAGGTGCAAAATGAAGCCATGCGCATTATTTTGGGATGTACAAGAGACACATCCTGTGAAGCAATGAGGTATCTACTTGACTTTCCAACAATGAACCAAAGGATCAGAATGTGGAGGGCTCGGGCATACCTCAAAATATGTGCTGATAAGAAACACCCACTGCATCAAGCGCTTTTTAGTGAAAAGGGCGACAGACTGAAGAGGGGAAAATCGTGGCTAGGTCGGGCAGAAGATGTTATTAGGCAAATATGCAGCCTAACCGACATCATACCTGGTGCAGAATGGATACCTGTGCCTCAGGCGTTTATTTGTACATTTTCCTGTATTGTCACACTCAACAGGCGATGTAGAGAAGAGAATCCTGTTGCTGTTAATGCAGAGGTCAACGCTCTCATCGGTGAAAATTCAGACGAAGCAGATGCACTAATCACTACACAGACGGATCCGTTATACGCCAAAGAAGGAGCGCATGGGCATTTACAGCACGCTCAGCGGGCAGAACAGTCAAAGAAGCCAACGGTGCCTTCTCCATGACAACCAGCAGCATGACTGTCGTATGGCAGTTTTGTCGCGCACCTTACTTACAGGATATTTTCACAAATCCCTCAGGTGCTCTGAGACAGGAGTGTTTTGAATGGTGGCTCTCGTTCGTCTAGAGGCCTAACCCTCGGTTCAAACTTTCCATTCAACCTGTCTCAGGGATGAGGTGACACGAGCTCTGACTCCACAGGGTTATTATGAACACTTGGGTACCTCTCGGCCAGACGTCCTCACCACTGTTTGCCCCCAGACTGGATTAATGTAAATACAGTCGAACAAATAATCAACAGTGAATACGATAAGACAAGACTACGTTTATAAATGTCACAAGGAACTCCAATTAGACAAAACTCTCCTAAGAACCAGAAGGCAGATGAACTCGAGAATCAATGTAATAGGTTCCCTGTAACCAAGCTGAAGAAAAATAACTTGAAGAATTAACTGAAAGAATATTGAATACTTTCAAAGACAAAGTTAGTGCGATTGTCTTCCTCCTACTCTACGTTTCTGTCCAGTATCATCATGTCTGAGGAATCTGATGGATTGGAAAGGTCCACTTAGATTTAATTCGTCATACGGGTCACTCTGACTTATCTGTTTAGATCTTATATCTCCTCTGGATGCTGGAGCGAAGTTTCCGACTACCGTACTTTACGATAGGACTTCTCAGAAACGAGGCTGCTTCTCTGGATGCCGGAATAGATCTTCACGTCACCAGACTTCCCAACATTATTTCACCAGAAGGAACAGTTTCTGGCGTTGATCGAGAACAATCACCTTGAGCTCGGAAGACGACGACTCAAGTATCGTCCACACGTTCAGGACCACAATTCACCACATGTAAATTGCTTAATGTGTAGTGGCAGAAGGAACCAGTCTACAAGACACGGACACTTGTTGGATCTTCATAACCCAGTGTAAATAAAAAAGAGAACAAGGAATCTTGTCTGTATAACGGTCAATTGGCG